TGAAGGACAGCTGGACCGCGATTGCAGAGGAATAGTTTATCTTTCGTACAGGTATGTTTTATACTTCGGTTCGGTTTAACTGTGAGATTCTGTCATGTGTTTGACGTTGCTTCATTGTTGTGTTACGTTTAGGAAAAGTAAAATTCTTGTGGTTTACACCCAATGTATTGTGTTTTGATATTTTGTTATTGTGACATTTTATTTCGTTTTTTCTTACGGCTTTATGTGGCTTTATGTGTACAGATGGAAACAACGTGACGAGATTAATGGAGAAAAAGTAATATCTACATATAAAGACGGAGAAAGTAAACAATAACGTTTATGGTTAAGTGTGAGCACCCCCTGTAGAGGCACAAGCTCTTACGTTGATATTGGAGATTTAAAAAAATAAAAAGATGTAGAAAAAAAATAACGAATATCCAAATAACGAAATTGAAACCCGAATAGTACTCCAACGAACGAATATTCGGGTACAGCCCTGCAGTGAAGTGATATCAATATTATTCAACATAACAGACCGTTAGAGCTCTTGTATCGTTTGTTTTTACCCACATAAATGTTAGTGTTAATATTTTTGCAAAACACCAGAATTCCACCGTACAATATTGAGGTTTTTGATAGGAAACCATTCAGATTTCTCCCCATACCGTTCCCCCTGCACTGCAGCACAGACGAGGCGTTACAACTAGAAATTAATCAAGCGTCTAAATTAGGGATGTCCCGATCACCTTTTTTTGCTCCCGATCCCGATCATTTGATTTTGACAATTAGCCGATACCGATTTTTCCCGATCCGATCTTTATGCAATGCATTAAGAGAAAAAAAAGCATTCAAGTTGTCCCTTAAGGTTATTTTTTATTTAAATTGGATATTCTATCCAACATGGATATAGCTTCTTTCTTTCACAGCAGCATTGGATCAGTTCAGTTGTGCAGCATTGGATCAAAACAAAATAAAGCTTTCAGTACTCGTTAGCTTACTGCTACAATTAGACACTGCGCCCACTCTGTTGCCAGATTTGAGAGAAATAAGCAGGTCTATGAAAACAAGCCCCAAAGAAGCAACACATACATGATGTTGTGTCATTTGAAACCAAAACTAAGGCCTCAGGATGACTTTAAGACTTGAACATGGTCATTTTTGTTTTGTAACAATTAATAATAAAAAAAAGTATTTAAAAAAATCCCGATCCCCGATTTTTTCTCCCGATTCCGATCTTTTGAAAATCACGTGATCGGCTCCGATCCCCGATCACGTGATCGGGACATCTCTAGTCTAAATAATGAATCCTTTGACAAGCACTTCATTTCTCCTCTCTGAAAGTCCTCTGGGCTCCAGCTCTTAGAGCATCAACGTAGATTAATTAATTAGCAGAGATGAGGCGGCTATAATAGGTTGAAGATAATGAGGAAGACTGACGTTCTTCACGGAGGTCAACTGAGGGCGTCTGGTTTTGCCGGTTTAGTCTCAGTACGAGCTAAAAACCTGTTTGTATGCAAAGAAGCAGCCACTGACATACTCCTGCTAATTTAAAAGAAGCAAACATCAAACTATTGGCCGCTGGTGTCTTGGTGTTAAAATCACACAACAAATGTTTGACCTCGCCTCATTTAACCTCTGATTCCTGCAGGTGTTGTACCGTGAACCTCAATGAGACGCTTCTGAATCAATAATGTAAACAAAGATAATCGTTATAGGGTCATTTGTGCACGGCTAAGATAAGACTGGGAATAATCAGGTGATGATTGCTCAGCGTTTACGATCGGCTGTTTGGACGTTTTGCCAAGATAAGCGATGTAAAGGAAATGACAAACATCCCTCATTAACAGAGAGAACAAACATTGCTCTGGGATTCCTTCAGTGTCGATGCTTCAGGAGGTTTTAAGAATATCTTCTGATATAAAAACAGTGAATAAAGTTTCATTTTGAGGTTCAAAATCTGAGTTTGCTTTCCGGCTGCCGCTAACGTTAGCTCAGCTTGTTTCTCTGATTACTTCCGATTCAGATGTCCTTCACTAAAATCCTTCATGCGGTTCAAAGAGCTAAACAGCACCATGAAGTGGCTTAAACCTGGATAAAAAGTTAGCTTCTGGCAGCTAACGTATGCTCACAGGGGATTCAACTGCATCACAGGAGACAGAGGATTACAGTTCATTCAAATCTCTGAAACGACACTCAGTATTTAACAGAGCTATGGTTCGTTACACACTTTGAAGCGGATTCAGGGCTGCAACAATTGTTATCACTGTTATTGCTATTTGATTAAAGGTTCCATGAGGGTTTCTGACTGCAGACCGTTTACATGCAGAAAAAGCTTCATAACACACAAGGGGACGGGTGATAACCAGAAAAGCATGACATGTTTTGGCATCAGTTTCATTAAATGGAGATATTTAAAATAATCAGTGAGTTGTTCCAGACAAAGATATTTTATTAAGTGCGTAGAATATGATTAGTAGGTTGGGACATCTCTCTAAATCCACAATCCTTCATTCAGAATAACATTTATTTGTACATGCATCAAACAAATGCACTAGCCAATACATTTCTGTTAATTATGCACCATAATACCTGCCACACATTATCCCTTTAAGCCCCGATGTGTTGCTTGTTTGTTGCTACAGGACGTACGGATTAAAGAAGTACCTGCTGTGGTTATGAAAGTGTTTGGAGGAGAGTAGTCTTGTTAAAGCTCAGCGCTACTGAAAGAGGACTCTTGTTAGATTATCACATGTATCAATGAAGGGGAGGGAGGGAGGAGTCAAGGAGACAGCTGGCTTTCCTCCCAATGGGATCGCCCCCCTCTAAACACAACTGGTGCGCCGATAAAAGCAGACAAAGCTGGTAGAAAAACAAAAGGTGGGGTCTTGCGACACACACACACACACACACACACACACACACACACACACACACACACACACACACACACACACACACACACACACACACACACACACACACACACACACACACACACACACACACACACACACACACACACACACACACGTTATGTAACAGCTCAGGGTCTTAAATATAGAGAGCCGTTTCACCCAGACGCTCCCTGCCAGAGGGAAAGGTTAAACCCTACTCTGCAACCAAGAGTCAAAGCAGGAGGGGAGGACACACGTGAAGATGTGTGTACAAGTAAATAAAACATATCCAAGGTAACTACAACTAAATGTGAAAGCTGGAGAAGTTAACCGTGTCTTTAAACGGCTGTATTTAAAAAAAACTCTGCATTTAGCGTTAGAATAATAATAAAATGCAATCATTACAACCATAGATACTGTATGAGGCACATGTTGAAGTATTCCACTGTTTTCTTTTCTGCACTTTAAGAAATACAAGTTTACAAGGCATTCCTCTAAAAGAAAATTTAAATTACTTGGAATTCCTAGTTGTTTCTAAATGATTGAAAGACCTGAAACTAAAACATTATCTAATCTATTTATCTGCTTGATTGTCTGCTCTTTAAAATGTAAGAAAATTGTTTAAAAGATGTGTTAAATGCATTTAGAAACATAATCACTTTGTTAGCCCCCTTGATTGTGATAAATGAGGCGGATCAAAATGCTTTTAATTGGGCGTAAAAATGTCGCACGTTGCCAGCATCACATGCTTTTCAGTCGTAGTTCAGGGACAGAGCATGATATGGAAAACGAAAAGCTCCATAATAAAACTCCTGTTAAAAGATTACAGCTGATAAGAGAGAAAGGGTGAGTGCATCAAAGGGGTTTATCGACATCTCCTTATTTACAAAACAGATAACAGGGACACCAGGTTAAAAGAGGGGAACCGTTAGTCGCTGAGTTCTTGTTTTAAACGTAGGGGAAAAAATGCTACTTAGTGGGTGTCAGGAGATGATATGAGGGTCATCCAGTGTCAGAGGTCGCAGGAGTAATACAGTAGATTACTGTCACTGAAGGTCACAGTCAGCATGGAAGGAAATATACTTTATCATTCAGTGTTAATGTTTCAGTAAGAGAATCTAAGTAGTTGTGCAACTTTTAATAATTATCCTTAATGATCAATATGCAGATTAATCATTTGACCTATCAAATATCATAAAATAATGAAAAAAGTCCAAGGTGATGCCTTTAAATGTCTCTACAGTCAGGCCAAAGCCCACATGTATTCACGTTAAAACGATAAAGCAGGACATCTCCATATTTGAGGCTCATTTCTTTCAGTAAACTAATGAATGAATGGTGCAGCTCCAATACCCTCATCAAACAGATTCAAATGACTCCTGGCTTTCAGTCTGCTTGGGTTTTAGACTATAAATGATCACTTTTAAGGCGTGTAGGAACATACATGTGACCTCCTGAGAGCCTGAATGCAACCTGATATCACCCAGTGTGTCTTTGCTGTCTATTACTCAGTCAAACCTTAAAACTAAAAGGTGACCTCTCCTGTTTGGTTGCTGAATGACTTGCTGAAGCAGAAACATCGTGTCCTTTATGCCCTTTCTAAAATGTCAGACTTGCATTTTCTCTGCTGTTTATCACCTGTGTTGCATGCATCGTAATATTACCTTACATGTCATGGTTATTTTATGCATTTAAATCACATTGCATCTTCTTTTGTAAGCATTTCAAGTCAGTATTAATTCTCAGATATCCACGTTTCTTTTCACATGCTAAAACGTGGAAACATGCTAGCTGATATTGCACAATAAAACTGATGTTTGTTGAATTATTCCACACTAAAACACTTGTTTCAACCTTACTATATAACTATTATATATATATTTTAGGACACAATAGATTTCTAATGTTAGATATTTGGCAGAAATCCTAACCTGAAGGTCAACAGTGTTTCCTGAATAAACACAAAGTCTGAGCTGACTTTAGAAGCACTCAGTGTCTGTTAATGATTCATGCTTGTTATATTTAAGGTTTGCCAGAGAACAGAGAAAGTTAACTGGACACAGAAACACAGAAACTCAGAAACACGTTCAGGCAGGACCACCAGGCCAGCTAATGCTAACAGTGGCTAACAAGACACAACTTCATACACTCACAATATATCGTAATACCGCCCCTATATAAAAACAGCAAGGAATTAAGACTAATATTGTGATGTTTTAGAAAGTATTAACCACACCCTGCGTTAACAGGATTTCAAAATGTGGTTGACAGTGCTAAGCTAACTAGGCTAAGCTAACTAGCGTCGTTAGCTCAACAACTTTGACGTCTAAAATCTCAGCCGTTTGGATTCTACTCACCTTTGAGTTGAGGAGTTTAGGCGCTAACCTGCTGACAGTGAGGAAGGACATGGTGTCTGTGAACAGGTGTGGTATTTCCACGTATTCTTGAGTAACGAAATGAAGCCGCTGCCGGTGCGGAGCTTGTTGAAGGTGCCCCTCCAGAAACAGAAGGTTGAAGAAGAGGGATTCTGGCCCGCAGGAAGCAGCGAGGTTGATTGGTCGACGGGCGTTACGCACAGCCACTTAGAGGGATTCGATTGGTTGGAGGGATGATGGGTGAGCGCTGATTGGATGGAGGATCTGTCTTGTGTCTGTGACGACAGCTGGAGATCAGGGTCTGTTCAAGAGCAAGCTTAAAATACCTGGTTGTAGCTCCTTTTTTGTCAAAATCCCAAATTGTACTATTTTAAACTTTGCCATTTGTGACCCCACGCACTGAAACTATCATCCTTCTGTTGTGGAAATGCCTTACTTTCCTCCGACATTAATTAACTGATTGTTGGTTTTGGGAAAAGTAGTTAAAAATGTAGAAAAAAAGGTGCAGAGGTGTAAAGTAACTAAGTACATTTACTCAAGTACTGTACTTAAGTACAATGTTGAGGTACTTGTACTTTACCTGAGTATTTCCATGTTATGCTACTTTGTACTGCTACTCCACAACAGTTCAGAGGTAAATGGTGTACTTTTACTCCACTACATGTATTTAATACCTTTACAATCACTACTTTTACAGTCGCTACTTTCACTATATTTTGATGATAATACTTTTCTACTTTTACTTGAGGAACATTTTGAATGCAGGACTTTTACTGTAACAGAGTATTCCTACACTCTGGTACTTCTACTTTTACTCAAGGACAAGATCTGAGTACTTCTACTTTAAATCAAGTACGAGATCTGAGTAATTCTACCTTTACTCAAGTACAAGATCTGAGTACTTCTACTTTTACTACAATATCTGAGTACTTCTACTTTTACTCAAGTCCAAGATCTGAGTAATTCTACTTTTACTACAAGATCTGAGTACTTCTACTTTACTCAAGTACAAGATCTGAGTAATTCTACCTTTACTCAAGTACAAGATCTGAGTACTTCTACTTTACCCAAGTACGAGATCTGAGTAATTCTACCTTTACTCAAGTACAAGATCTGAGTACTTCTACTTTTTACTACAAGATCTGAGTTAATTCTACTTTTTACTCAAGTACAAGAGTACTTCTACTTTTACTTGAGGAACATTTTTGAATGCAGGACTTTTACTTGTGTGAGTTCTGCAAAACAGATTTCAGGAAAACATGAACACATTGATCAACGTCATATTCCTGGAGTTTCTGTTTGTGATCAAAGACAGAAATATAAAAAACCTGTGCATAAAATAATATATAATGACAAAGCAAAATATTGCATTCATTTCTTCAAACATCTTGAGCAGTTTTTTCAAAAAATCATACCTTCTTAAAAAATGTTTTGCTAATTCATAAAGTTGAAACACATTTTTTAATGTTTTTATTTATTCATTTATTTAACAGGGACAGTGCACATTAATGAACATTTCTGTAAATGTGCCAGAGTTAGCCAAGAGGCTATTTTTCATCTGTAGTCCCTGGACAGATTTGAAAAGTCAACCTAAAACACATTTCATTTTAAACAAGTAAATACAATACATTTAAAACATGCAACAGACATTACTGGGATACTTAAATAAAACAATTTAAAATACAGAAAATTAAAACAAAAAAAATTAAACAAAACAAAAGAACATGTTAAAACACAGGCAGTGGGTTGTAAGGAGCTGAACATCATTAAGGCATTCCGACCCTCAGTCAGTACAACTCAAATAAACACGAGACAATTATAAATAAAAACAAGTCTTTACTTTTGAAGAAGAGTAGTATTATTTCACGGAGCCTTTTTGACATTGATTATTTTGTGCAAGAGTCATAAAACATGTCATCTAAATCTGTAAAGAAAGCAGATTTGTATTGTTGGGTTTCAGGTAAGATTTGCCCACCTGGGTTTGGGGATGTTCTGATTCTGCAGACCCTCTCTCCTTGCACTATTTATACCCCATTTTATTGTATTTACTTGCATTATTTTAACTATTGTATC